AAGAGGATATAACAATTATAACTATCTATGCACCCAACACTGGAGCTTCTAAGTATATAAAACAAATATAAATAGAACTAAAGGGAGAGATAGACTGCAATACAATAATGGTAGAAGACTTCTACATCTCACTTTCTGTAATAGATCATCGAGACAGAAAGTCAACAAAGAAACATCAGAGTTAAACTATACACTAGACCAAATAGGCCTAACTAACATGTCCTGGACGTTTCACCGAACTGCTGTGGAATACACATTCTTTTCATCAGCACACCGAACTGCTGTGGAATACACATTCTTTTCATCAGCACAGGGACATTCTCCAGAATAGATCATATCTCATGCTACAAAACAAGTCTCAACAAATTCCCAAAGGTAGAAATCATACCAAGTATCTTTTCTGGCCACAATGGAATAAAACTACAAATCAATAACAAGAGGAACATTGAAAACGTCATAAACACATAGAAATTAAACAACATGGTCCTGGACAACAAATGGGTCAATGAAGAAATTAAGAAGGAAATTAAATAATTTCTTGAGGCAAATAAAAACAGAAATACAACATACCAAAATCTATGGGACACAGCAAAAGCAGTGCTTTGAGGGCAGTTTATAGCTATAAATGCTTATATCAATTAAGTAGAAAGACTTCAAATAAACAATCTAATGATGCTCCTTAAGGAACTATAAAAGTAAAAACAAACCAAACTCTGAATTAGCAGAAGGAAAGAAATAATAAAGATGAGAACAGAAATAAATGAAAATGAGACCAAAAAAAAAAAAAAAAACCAATACAGAAGAAAAATGAAAGTTATTGTTTGGACAATATAAACAAAGCTGACAAACCTTTGGTTGGACTTTGGTTTTCAAGAAAAAAAGGGAGAAGACCCAAATGAATAACATCAGAAATGAAGAAGAAGACATAACAAAGGAGACCACGGAAATACAAAGAATCACTAGAGACTATCATGAACAACTATATGCTAACAAATTGGAAAACCTGGAAGAAATGGATAAATTCCTGATCACATACAACCTACCAAGATTGAACCATGAAGAAATAGAAAACCTCAATAAATAAGTAATAGGTAATGAGATCAAGCCATAATGAAAGTTTCCCATCAAAGAAAAGTCGAGGACTGGATGGCTTCACTGCTGAATTCTACCAAGCATTCAAAGAACCAATGCCAAATCTACTCAAACTCTTCAAAAAAATTGATAAAGAAGAAATACTTTCAAACTCACCCTACAAGGCTAGAATTACTTTGATGCCAAAACCAGGCAGGGACACACACACGAAAAGAAAACTACAAGCCAATATCAGTGATGAACATAGATGTAAAAATTCTCAACAAAGTACTATCCAACTGAATTTAACCACACATTAAAAATATAATTCACCATGATCAAGAGGGATTCATCCCAGGGATGCAAGGATGGTTCACTATAAGCAAATTAATAAACATAATATATCACATTAACAGAACCAAGAGCAAAAGCCACATGATTACTTCAACAGATGCCAGAAAACATTTGATAAAATTCAACATTCCTTTATTAAAAGCCATCATCAAATTGGGTATAGATGGAATATATAACAAATTAACAAAGGCCATATATGACAGACTCACAGCTAACAACATTGTACAGAAAGGGGAAAAATGGAAGGCCTTTCCTTACTTTAAAATCTGGAACAAGACAAAGATGCCCACTTTCACCTCTTTTATTCTATATAATACTGTAAATCCTGGCCAGAGTAATTAGGCAAGAGAAAGAAATAAAGGGCATTCAAATTAGAATGAAGAAGTCAAATTAGCCTTGTTTGCAGATTACATGATCTTATATTTAGGAAAACCTAAAGACTCTACAAAAACTGTTAGAATTGATAAATGAATCCAGTAAAGTTTCAAGATGCAAAATCAATATTCAAAAATTGGTGGCATTTATAATACACTGAAAGCAAATAATCTGAAAAAGAAATCAAGAGAGCAACCCAGGCTGGGCGTGGTGGCTCATGCCTGTAATCCCAACACTTTGGGAGGCTGAGGCAGGCGGATCACAAGGTCAGGACATCAAGACCATCCTGGCTAACACAGTGAAACCCCATCTCTACTAAAAACACAAAAAGATAGCCGGGTGTGGTGGCAGATGCCTGTAGTCCCAGCTACTTGGGAGGCTGAGGCAGGAGAATGGCGTGAATCCAGGAGGTGGAGCTTGCAGTGAGCTGAGATAGCACCACTGCACTCCAGCTTGGGGGACTATACGAGACTCTGTCTAGTCTCAAAAAAAAAAAAAAAAAAAAAAAAAAAAGCAACCCCATTTACAATAAAAGAATACAAAATACCTAGAAATCAATCTAATAAAGAAGTGAAAGATCTATATAAGGAAAACTATAAAACAGTGATGAAAGAAACTAAAGAAGATGCAAAATAATAGATATTCCATGCTCATAAATTAAAGGAATTAATATTGTTAAAATGACAACAGTACCCAAGGCAATTTACAGATTCAATGCAGTACCTATCAAAGTACCAATGGCATCATTCACAAAAATGAAAAAACATTCCTAAAACTGATATAGAACCACAAAAGACCCGAAAAAGCCAAAATAATCCTGAGCAAAAAGAAAGAAGCTGGAGGCATCACACTCTTTGACTTCAGAATTTATACAAAGCTATAGTAACCAAATCAGAATGGTACTGGCATAAAAACAGACACATGGACCAAGGAACAGAACAGAGAACCCAGATACAAATCCATACGTTTATAGCCAACTCATCTTCAACAAAGGCACCATGAACATGTAATGGGGGAAAGACAAGTCTCTTCAATAAATGGTGCTGGGAAAACAGGGTGACTATATGCAGAAGAATGAGACTAGGCCCCTGTCTCTCACCATATATAAAAATCAAATCAAACTGGTTTAAAAACTTAAATCTAAGACCTGAAACTAGTCTGAAAGTACTAGAAGAAAACATTGGGAAAATGCTCCGTTACATTGGTCTGGACAAAATTTTCTTGTGCAAGACCCCAAAACCACAGACAGCCAAAGCAAAAATAGACGAATGCGGTTACATCAAGCTATAAAGCTGCTGCACAGCAAATGAAACAACCAAAAGGGTGATGTGACAACCCACAGAGTAGGAGAAAATATTGGCAAACTACCCATCTCACAAGAAATTAAAAACCAGAGTATATAAGGGATACAAACAACTCAATAGCAAAGAAACAAATAATTCAATTGAAAACTGGGCAAAAGATCTGAATAGACATTTCTCAAAAGAAGACATACAAATGGCCAAGAGATATCCAAAAAAATGCTCACTATCACTAATCATTGGAAAAATGCGAATTAAAACTACAATGAGATATCTCACTCCAGTTAAAATGGCTATTATCTAAAAGGCAAGCAATAATGGATGCTGGTGAGGATGCAGAGAAAGGAGAACCCTGTGCCCTATTGGTGGGAATGTAAATTAGCACAGCCACTATGGAGAACAGTATGAAGCGTCCTCAAAAAACTGAAAATGGAACCACCATATAATCCAGCAATGTCACTAGTTGGTATATACCCAAAAGAAAGGAAATCAATGTATTAAAAAGACATCTGCATTCCCTATATATTGCAGCACTATTCACGATAGCCAAAATATGGAATCAACCTAAGTGTTTATCAGTGGACTAATGGATAAAGAAAATGTGGCATATATACACAATGAAATATTATTTACCCTTGAAAAAGAATGAAATCCTGCCATCTGCAGCAACATGGATGGAACTGGATGTCATTATGTTAAGTAAAATAAGCCAAGCACAGAAAGACAAAAATCATTCTCACTCTTACGTGGGAGCTAAAAAGTGAATCTCATAAAGAGAGAGAGTAGATTGGTGGTTACCAGAGGCTGGGAAGGGTAGACAGGAGGGAGAAATGAAGAGAAGTTGAATAACGGGTACAAATGTATGTTTGATAGAATAAATAAGATCTAGTTTTAGATAGATCAGTAGCTTGACTAGACTTTATAATATCTTTTTTATAAAGACACTTCTATAAAGCAATACAATGTCTGTTGTATATTTCAAAATAGCTAGAAGAGAAGTCAAATGATTCCAGCAGAAAGAAAAGGCAAATATTTAAGGTGATGGATATTCCAAGTACACTGATTTAATCTTTGCCAACTATATGAACGTATTAAATTATCACATGTACCCCCAAACGATGTATATTATGCATCAATAAACATTTTTCAATAAAAAAAAAAATAGAGCTGACTGGCCGTGAGTGGTGGCTCACGCCTGTAATCCCAGCACTTTGGGAGGCCGAGGTGGGTGGATCACAAGGTCAGGAGATTGAGACCACCCTGGCTAACACGGTGAAACCCCATCTCTACTAAAAATACAAAAAATTAGCCAGGCGTGGTGGTGGGCGCCTGTGGTCCCAGCTACTTGGGAGGCTGAGGCAGGAGAATGGCGTGAACCCGGGAGGTGGAGCTTGCAGTGAGCTGAGATCGTACCACTGCACTCCAGCCTGGGCGACAGAGCGAGACTGTCTCAAAAAAAAAAAAAAAAAAAAAAAAAAAAAAAAAAAAAAAAAAAAATTAATGGAGCTGACTATGATTTGTCTTTTTAATAACATTTTTTAAAAATAACAAAATCTCATGGTGTTCTGATGTTAAGTTAGTCCTAGGTTGAAAGGATCATCCTGTTGGTCTGGATGACTGCACATGAAGTGGGAATAAAGACACCTTAGAGGTGGAAAGCCATTTTGAATAGAGTTTAGGATTTTGCAGTGCCCATTCAGAGTTCTGCTACTGCTGCTTCTACCTCATCAATCACAGGCCATGGTCCTCCTCCATCTCCCCACCTCATCACTAGAGCTGTCAGACCTCTGGCTCTTATTCAAGCTGTGAAATGGCACACAATTCGAAACTTATTTACTGGGTCTGAGCCAAGGCCATATCCCATTCGTGCTCATGCATCTCAGTTGGCTCAGCACAAACTTCCATTCCCTTCACTTTCAGTCAGGATCCAGATAAGCCAGGACGGAGCTGGAGCGCCAGTGGTCTGATTAGAAATCTTTCCATCCAAGCTTAATGAGAGGGTTGGGAGTTTCAGCTCCTGACACCCAGTGGGTGGTTTCACAAGTTTTAAAGGGTGACTGTTCAGGTGATTGGCAGCGCAGGCAAAGAGGGAAAAGTCTTTTCTGTGAATGTCACAGGCAGGGTTACAACGCTGTGTGAGCATGGAGCAGCCTGGCATAAAGCAGTGTTGAGTCCCCTGGCTGGATGCCGGGATGATGTCAGATCCTGGATACTGCCCCATTCAGTCAAAGCCATGCAGTCTGAAATGGCGCATGTCCCCGCGGGTCAGCTGGCCTGGAGAAAACAACACGCCCTCAACGTGACAGTCCCCACATTCTGCAGACTTAAAAGGGAAATCCTTTCGATTCTGCCCGGACTCCTGGGGCTCTGCCCTGGCCTTGCCCTGGGGCTGCAAAGAGGAATAAAATATGGGAAAGATTGTGTGTAGCTGCGATGGATTCTTCAGCTGATCAGAGGTGGTTTCCTGCCTGCGAGGAGTTGGTACCCTGAGCTTCTTGTTCCTTGGATCCCTCCTTTCCTCTGCTGCTGATGCCCCCAACACCTCGCCCCCTCCCTATTGCTTCTGCTCACCCCACCTCACTCCCACCGATGTCTGCTTTTTTATTGTGAATTTCAGCTGCCTGCTTGTTTCACCTCCAGTTACTCAAAGGTTTGCCCCAGTGTTGCTCCCCGTTTAAAAGACTCCATTCCTAGGCCTTCCTGCTCCATTTTCTCATGCGCTTCCCTGGCTTTCTCGGATTTTCATTTTCATTTCCCTTCCCATTTCTACAAAGGCAGGATGCAGAGGAAGGCCAGCAGAGGGCAAAGAGCCCGAGAGCCAGGATCAGGAGACAGGAACGTGTTGGCGTGTGGCTATGGGCAAACCATAGAGACTGTCTCTGGTCATCCGTGATCCCCACTGTTGGTGAGGCTGGGTCACCTAGTCCAGAACTCCAGCACCGTGGGGTGTGCCAGTGCTGGTGCTGTGATGGAAGCAAGGAATGGGACTCTGCCCTGGCTTTCGCCCACCTACCGAGCAATAAAATCTTTACCCCTCCCTCCCTCCTTCTCTCTCTCTCTCTCTCTCTCTCTCTCTCACACACACACACACACACACACACACACACCCCTTTACCTGGAGGCTGAATCACAATGTTTCTTAGCCTTGACTCACTTTAGCAGCTCCTTGCTGTCAGGTGTAACTCCACACCCCATTTTATTTTTCAAAAGTTTGTGAAATGAAGACATTAATTCAAGGCTGATTTTCTTTTGCTGCCACAGATGTCCACATAATTGTCGGATCCTCATAGTGGTGAAGGTGGTCTGCTGTCCTTATCTCAAGGCAGACAAAGGGAATGGCAGTTAGATCCCGAGAGACATGGTAAGACAAAGCAAATCAGAGATGTAGAGAACAGAGCCTGGCGGAATTAGAAATAGAATTGCACTAGGGAAGAGCACTGGGTTACGTTTGGATTTCTGAGAATCCACTTGACCTGCTTCCTTCTTGGTGCCTTGTGGCTACCACTAAGTTCTGTGCTCAAAGGAACAGTGTTTTTCTGATTAGCCAAACCCTGATTCTGCTTATATTTGTACCCAGATCCTTATATGATGTGATTAGTTCTCAGTTACCCTCCAGCATCAATTAATTAGGATAAGTATTGCTCACTTTCAGAACTATTTACACAGAGATGGGATTTTGTTTCAAAGTAGAAGGGCAAATGTAAATTGGAATATCTGTGTGAATACTCAAACTCCAAGTCAAAGAGAGTTCAAGTTTACTGTGGACTCAGGGCTGCAATATGACCTAAGGATTAACTTTTTGTCAGAATATGCAATATGTTGCTTTCTATGAAGAAGAAGAAGAAGAAGAAGAAGAAGAAGAAGAAGAAGAAGAAGAAGAAGAAGAAGAAGAAGAAGAAGAAGAAGAAGAAGAAGAAGAAGAAGAAGAAGAAGTTGGAGGAGGAGGAGGAGGAGGAGGAGGAGGAGGAGGAGGAGGAGGAGGAGGAAGGAAGGAAGGAGGGAAGGGAAGTATGAAGAAAGAGGAAGGGGAAGGGGAAGGAGAAGGAGAAGGAAAAGGAGAGAAGAAGAAGAGGAAGAAGAGGAAGAAGAAGAAGAAGAGGAAGAAGAAGAAGAAGAAGAAGAAGAAGAAGAAGAAGAAGAAGAAGAAGAAGAAGAAGAAGAAGAAGAAGAAGAAGAAGAAGAAGAAGAAACAATGTACATGTTAATGGCTGCTATGTGCTAGGCACTTTACATATATTAATTTATTTGATTCTGATCATAACTCTCTAAAGAGATATTTGATTCCCTTTTCACAAATGAGGCAACTTGAAGAGGATACAGAGCAGCCATAGAGCCAAAGCCAGAGTTGTAACCTACACGCTGAAGCTAATTCCATGTGACCTCATCAAACCATAACTCTGCCATCTTCTTTCACCACATTTAATTTCATTTTGTTCCTGGTACTATGCTGGTGCTATGGCTATTATAAAAGAATAAGATGCCCCCTCCCTTTGAAAGCTTATTCATTTTAGAGAAATTAGAACCACAGACACAAAAGCATTAGAGCACATTTGGTATATAACTGAGATGGAGGAGGATCTTGAGTTAATGAGTGAATCAGATTCAACTAAGTACAAATAGATGGATGTCAGATGAGGTCCAATTAGGGAATCCACCCTAGAACACATGGAAAGGTTTCATGCAGGGGGTGGCACTAGGTCCTGAAAGATAACGTTGGCAAAGTGAGCAAGGAAAGCTTGGCCAGCTGTCTCGGGGCAAGAAATTCAATCCTCTGCAGTGGTTAACCCCAATACATTCATTTCCATGGTAGTTGGTAATAAAGAGATTTAAATTATACCTGAATTTGGTAAGAAACTATTGTTGTAAGTTATCCTTTATTTTTCTGTTCCTTATTTTCTTTTTCTATGTCCTTTTAAAATTCTGCCTTTCATATGGAGGATTTTTCTTTTTTTCTGCTTATACAAAACTAAGCAAAGGGGCTGTTCACAGAGAAAGCTTCTCTTCTTTTTGGAATTGCCTATTTAATCCCTGGAAGCCTCAACTGCATTCCCCTATATCTGTGTTGTTTGAAATTTGTGCCAATTATTGACAGGAGTGTAAATATCCTGGCTCTTTCACCTCTCAGGGAGGATGACTCTGTAGCAGGTGTTCTGGATCCCAGAACTTCCTCGATGGAAATTCACTTCAGTTGCCACAGTCATAGCTAGGTTGATCATCCACTTCTAATCATCTTCCCTGTCTCACTTTCTTATCCCACTTGCCCACTTCTTACCTCCCAAATAAACTACTAGCATTCTAATCCTTGCCTCTGATTCTGCTTCTAGGAGAGCCCAAACTAAGACAAACATATAAATAGATCTATAGTCAGAGAATGAAAAACAAAGGGAAATTGTATATATTTATGAATAAATTATCTTTTCCATATGTGACATCGGTTGCAATATTTGTACTGAATATGGGCTATATTGGGACAATAAACTCAAAATTTCAAATGATTAAAAATAATTTTCCTAGTTGATTTTTTAAAATGCTTTTTTATTTTCATTTGCTTATGAAAATAGCTAGTGACTTAAGAATTTTTCAGGATTTCAAATAAAATAATGAAGCCACTAATTAAAAGACTCTTCCTCAATGCCTACCTTGTTCCTACAAGCTATTCTATGTTAGAGAAGTTTTACTTTGCCCATTGATGTTAAGCACCAGCTTGAAATGCATGTCTGCTGTAGTTTTTCTTCATATTATTCCTGGTTTTAGAAAAATTATTGTTTTCATTTAGTCTCTTTTCTCCAAGGTGCTTGACTGGATAGGAAAGATGGATATAAACAATAATATAAGGTGAATAATTTTCAAATCTATCTGCTTAATTACAAGTATTTGCCCACAGAACTCCAAACAAGGTTTGCTGTGGATAATGCATTTTATGTTTTTGAAAAGAAGTTGCATCTTTATCTGCTAAAGATATGGCCACTTTCATAGGAAGCCTGTATGTCCAGATTTCCAAGAAGGCTTGGGATGAGAGCATTGGAGACCAGGAAGACACCGGCCTCAGCTCACGTCTCATATTCCAAGACATGTATAAGATTCTCATCTGACCATAAATTTCCTCTGCTGGCATATTTCAGTTTTAAGTAATTGAATTTCTTTATGGACCATGCCAAAGGCTTATTTTCTTCATATTAGTTTTTATCTGTCTTGTCTCTCTAGTTTCTAAAACTTCATCTAGCTCTCTTCCTCTTTGTGATTTCCTTCAGACTTTTCTAAAAACAGTTTGTACCCAAGAGGATTTCATTATCCCCAGAATACACTTCCCAAGGGAATCTTCTAGTCTATGATCAGCTGTAAATTGCACTCCAATTGTTTCGTGTATAATCTAGTTTTTCCTTCAGCTAGGCTGTAAGCCCTTGAAGGCAGGAATTGAAGTGTCTTTTTGTATTTACCATAAAACAGCACTGAACACGTAGTAAGAATAAATACAGACTGACTCGTTGGTTCACTCGTGAACTCTAGGACAATAAATACAAAATCTACAGGTCCTTTAAATTTAATTGAGAATTCAAACTAGGAAATTGCACATAGAATGGCACCTCCACCAAGGCTATCTTGTTTATCCAAATAATTTTGCAGCTGTTTATGGCTGTATAGCTTACAAAGCACTTTTAAATGTTATGTTTATTTCATCCTCACAGTAGACATTTGAGGTAGAAAAGGCAGGGATTAGATCTCCATTTCACAGTTGAGAAACCAAGGGTAAGGGATTTGCACATGGTTATGAGGCTGGTATATTGTGGAGCTGGAACTAAGGTCCAAGGCTTTTCAAATCAATTTATTCCTTAAAGATCTTACTACCTATAGTACTGTGTATTAAACTGGAACTAGGCTCAAAGGAAATTTACCACATATTCCTGAGCATTGTATTCACCCAATTTTATGACCAGCCTTAAAGATGCCCCATAAAGTGCTTTCAGTTAATGCTTACGAGCTTAGGTACTGTGTCAGCCTGCCTGAGCTTCACTACTTAATCTTTGTAAGCTTCAGTTTGCTCAGCTCTAAAATGGGGACGATAAGTATACTTACCTCCTAGACTCTTTGTTAAGATTGGGCCAGACTATATAGCAAGGATTTAGCATAGTGCCTCCATATATATTAGCAATTATCCCATTATTCCTTTGTAATCTTTGGACCTTTTTATCTCTGCCTTGGAAATCATAGCCATTGTTTTGA